ACGTTGAATAGATTAACTATGATTTGCAGTCAGGGAGATTAAGTACGTTTAACTATGACTGAAATCCAATCAAACAAGACACGCTTAAAATAAGGAGTTCGTTTATAGTGTAAAAGGTTATACTTTATTATAGAACTTTATAATTACAAGAATAATAACTAATCTGAACTAAACCTATAACGAAGGAAAATACCAACGTTATTTATATAAAAGTTACTACATATAAAGATATAATAAATATAATAAATATAATAAATATAAGAAATATAACTAATATAATAAATATAACTAATATAATAAATATAATAAATAAATTAAATATAATAAATAAAATAATTATATCGATTATATTAAATATAATTAATATAATAAATATAATAGAAATAATAGGCTAAGTAGGCCGCGGCTAGGTCGGCTTGGCACAGTTGGGCACAGTAGATCCTAATTTTCCACATGATCTTCTGGCGCAGTAAGTTGTAACTCTACACGTGACTAGGGGTAACAACGTGAATCTCAAGCTTTAGAAGTAAATTTAAATGATAATGATTTGGACAATGATAATACTACCAAGATAGATGAAGCAGAACAAGTTATAGCATTCAATTTAGTGATAAAGCCATCTTCTGGTTCGATATTGCCATCTAAATGGATAGAAATAAAAGCATCATCATTAGATGATATTTTTGCAGAAGTTCATTATTATATTGGCAAGCTAATTGATAGTAAAGAGATTGTTTATTCTGATTATTCAATTACATTCAAACCAGAAAAAACTGCAGGAGTTGGAGTAGGATTGATTGATATACAAGATTACAAAAAGTTTCTTTTGGATTATAAGAAATTATTAGAGGCAAAAAAAAATAGGACAATAGTTGTATCTATGAAGAAAAAAGAAAAACAGAAACAAAAGGTAAAAATTAATTTTTTTTATTGACAATAATTATTGTTCTAAATAAAATAGTCTTATATTTGTTTTATTTTTTAGAAAGATTCAGATTTCGAAGGATCAGAAAATGAAAATAAAAAATCACGCAAAAAAAATAAAATTCCAAAACTGGATAAATTTCTTGAGGTATTACAGCAAGAAGGAAATATTATTCGTGAATTGAGAGAAAAATACAAGTGTAAAAATCATGATGCATGCTTTGTTGATAATGGAAGACATTTAAAACTTACTGCAATGCATCTACAATGTTGGGCCAAAGAAATTGTAATTATTTTATTTATTTTTTATTAGATAATAATGCATCATACATGTGTATGTAGTATTATAATATTAATAATTCTCTTATTTTATTTTTAGATTCGTGGTAGTACTGATGATACTCAAATGCCAAATTTACCAATATTTTCACAATCTCGTTGTGTTAAGGAAAATTCCCAAACACCTACAACTTCAACTATTCCAATTTCTTTCAATCCATCAAATTCTAATACAATGCTACCATTTTTCTCATATGGGCTAATCTGACTCACCAACCAAATGTCACATGAAAATAAGTGTGACAATATCGAACCAATCGAATTTAGTGTAACAAAGCGAAAAAAAAATCAAAAAAATATTTCGAACGCTTCTTTTATATAATAAAACCATTATAAAATACTGTCAAAAATAAACAATAACCCTTAAAAATATGCTTTTATTATATAAATACATATAATATACAAATAATTATAATAATTATTAAACAATAATGCCTAAAAAATAAAAATAAACCTATTAATATATTTAAAAAAAGTTTTACAGCGTAAATGCTGTTTAAAATGCCTTAATAAACATAATAATGTGCAAATAATGTTATAAAAATAGAGCACATTATACTAACTTTAACATGTCACATATTTGCAACATCCAATAGGAAAACAATTCCCTGACGATTTCCCACCATATTGTTTTTTTGTAGAAAGCTTATTTAAGTTTATTTTATTTGCAGATCATCACAAATTTCATATATATTTCTCAATTATATCACCTGATCATTAATTAATGAAATGAGTCAGATCGGCCTATATGTTTATTCTATTTACACAAAATTCAAATAATAATCCAACTCTACCATTACAGGCATTATTATCTCCAACACAGCCAATTCCATCTCTTGATGATTTTTTTGAATCATTAGGTAATGCTGAAGAATTTATGCAATTCAAAAATATCTTTAAGAGTAGTAAATGAATGCATTACAGTAGATCAAATTTTTGATCTTACAGATAACGAATTTGAACAATTAGGTATAAACAAAATTGGATGGCGTAAAGTATTTAGAGCTGCTGCGCAATGTTACAAAAAATAATTTGATCAAATTTTGTTATTTCTTCTATATTTTTTGTAAACATATATTTTTTTGTATAATTTGTATCCAATTTTAATAATAATAATAAAATATATTGCTCTAATAAAGTTTATTTTATTTTTATATTTTTATTTACATATAAATTGAACTTTCAAAAAACTTTACAGCCATTTGTAGGGTAATTTGACTACATGCTATAAGAAGAGGATATTTGGGATCATTACATGAGTTAACAAAATCTCTATATCTTTTTAGAAATGATTTTATAACAGAAAAACTAGTCTCTATAGGATTAAAGTCTGGAGAATAAGGAGGTAAAAATTCAACACGCCCACCAAAAGCTTCTATATAATCTATAAAAATATCATTATGATGAATTCGTGCATTATCAAGTACAAGTACACTATGATTATTAGGATATGAATTCATCTGAGGTACCTAATAATGTAAAAGAAAAAAAAGTAAATAAAAGAAATAAATATAACAAAATCATATAAAATGGCTAATTTTAATATATCACAGTTGAAATAACAAATTCTCTAAATCTTTCTTTTGTACAGCTGCCTTCCATTATATCTACTGCAATAAATCCTTGTAATGATAAGGTAGGTAATATTATATATCATACATCACGTACAAACACGTTTTTCTTTATTGCCAAGGTATTTTTAAAAGAATACCCATACTCACGAGACAAACTACGTTCATCTTTTGAAGCTTCATCCATAAAAATAAGTTGCTCAGGTCTATAATCATGTCCAACTTTTGCAATAAATGTATTTCTGAGGAGTTCATTTTGCTCATGAGCTGCTCGATGTAACTAATAAAAAAATATTTAGTAAATCTAATAAGCCAATATTATTTATAATAATTTCAAAAAAAATTTTACCTTTTTCCTACTAATTCCACAATAAACTAAAGAATGCCATAGAGTTGAAATAGAAACTAATTTTCCTGTCCATAATTCGAGTTCTCCCACTAATTCATCCAAATACCAATCCACTTTTTCTTTGACTAAGTCTTGCAATATCTAAAGTGAAAATAAATTAGTAAAAATTTTCATTTATAAATATTCCTTTTATATTTGTAAATTACCTTCATCTCATTTCGATTTAGTGTTTTGTACTGACCTGATAGTTTACGCTAAGGATCCTCTACCGTTCTCCATTTTATATATATTTGCCATACTTTATCAACAATACCGTCATCGGGCTGGATGTGGGAGGTGCAAGCACCTCCCACCTCCAGGTCTACGACCCGTCACAGTACCTATATGGCCCCTACGGGGCTCAGGAATCCCCCATATATCCTCCACAATCCTCCACATAGATCCTCCACAAAAATATATAACAAAAAAGGATAAAATAAGGGAAAAGAGAGGAAAATAAGAGGGAATCAGAAGAGTGTGGAGGATGTGGAGGATATTTTAAAAATATCGGGAGAGGGATTCCCCCAGAAAAAAGTTTTGATTTTACCCCCAGATCCTTCACATCCAGAACATCTTCCACACGTACAGGATTCCGTCCGATCATCTGTATAAGCTAATGAGATAGCAAACCAGGTAAGTTAGCAGGTAAGCCCCTAGAAGGTCTATAAAGCCAGTAAGACCAACCCCGTCCTGCCCCCGTCAGAAAAAATAAGTAATTGAACAATGGGTATACCATAAGTAACCTATAAGGACAGATAACATGTATACCCCGCACGCAGTATCAGTAATCCCCGAACTTGTAGGCCATATCCTGGAACACATTCCAAGTAGCAATTTTGGGCCACATCTTTTAGAAGTCAGCCCAATCTGGAAAGCCAAAGCTGAACGAGTACTCTAGAAGCGGCATAAAAAAGCTGAAGAGGCATACGACAGGGCAGTAGAAAAGAAGGAAAAAGCAAATGATGCTCTTGGTCGATCGGAGGAGAAGGATAATAGAAATCGTGACCTAGGTGAACTTGAATGGAAGGCATATCAAAAGGCTTGTAAAGAGTTAACGGACACTAGAAAAGAGCTAACTATAGTAAAAGGAGCTCTTGAGCGGTTTGGATTTCAGATATATGTAGTTTGAAAAAGGGGAAGGGAAGATTTAGAGCAGTCGTAAAGGTTTGTGGTTTATAGTTTTTTTTTTACCCCTAGAAGATAACCAGATATAACCAGAGGACCGCAGAATCGCAGGACCATAGGACTACAGGAGGGTAACCTGGTAGGAGTGCAGATCTTTGGAAAAAATATTCGGCAATTGAAGATTAGGTAACTATAAATTAGTACTCGATTTGATAGAACAAAAAATGACTGCCCAAACTAGCACTCAAGCTCAAGTTATCCCCAAGTTTGGTGAACAGAAGAAGGCTTTTAGTATTGATGAGCTTAAACGGCTCATTAAAGCTGCAAAGAATATGAAGGATCTCAATCAAGCTAAAGGTTATCTTTGCAGTTACTTTATCCCCTGCTCCAACCCGCATGGAGTCTTCATGTGGCGATCAGAAATCAAAAACCTCGAGCACATCCCTGATAAAAATATTAATAAACTTATCCGTCCAATTACCAAAGTCTTTTACACACAATCTGAACAGGGTCCTTCACAAAAGGTTGAATTTAATATCAACAAATGGTTTATGATTGAATATAGTACTGTATGTGTAGCTACCTGTGACCCTCAAAAATCCCGTATCTTTAAACTAGGTGGCCAACTTTATCTCAATATCTTTCCAGAATTCCTCCATATCCTGCGTCCGATATCCACTTTTGAATCTACAATCCACCTCGCGGTTAAATTTATCTTCTCTCACATTCAGGATATCTGGTGTTCAGGCGATTGGAATCTTACTGAGTATATCATAAAGTGGTTGGCCGGTGTGGCAGCTGGAAGGAAAATGTATTCGATTCTCTACCTGAAATCTGGACAGGGTTGGGGTAAAAGTATTATAACAGATTTCATTCAACGTAGTGTCTTAGGTACTCAACTTGTTTATAAAACCAGAGATCCTCAAACGATTCTTGGAAGTTTCAATGGGCAATTACAGGGTAAGGTTCTTCTCCTTCTCGAGGAAATGCCTACAGAAAAAAGCCAGTAGAATAATCTGTATTGATCATTGAAGGATAAGGTAACAGGCGACATAATGGAAATCCATGAAAAATATAAGACGCCAACACATTACAAAAACTTTATATCTACTATTGTACTCACCAATGAAAATGCTCTCAGAGTGGAAAATGATGATAGGCGCACAGTATTCTTGGATGTGTCACCATCCCGCAAGGGAGACCTCAACTACTTTAAGAAACTCGGTGATGCTATGAAATATCCAGGTGCCAGTGAGGCATTCTATGCTTACTTGAGAGTCATTGCAGACGCTTACCCGGACTTCAATGGGAATCCACCACCTATGACAACATCTAAGCAGGATCACATCATATCAACTCTCCCACCACTATTTCAATTCATAAAGGACACTTACCTCATAGTAAAAAATCATATAACCGACCTACCTGTTCAAGAATTTTATAGGGTATATACTTCATACTGTGAAACTCATTGCATTTCACCCCTATCAAAGATCAATGCATCTAGAATCCTATCAAATGAGCTAAGTATAAAAAGTAAAAAAATGCGTATAGGTAAAACAACACCACAAGTTTACAGTATATCTAGGGAGGATCTATATAAGAAGTTTCTTGGCAAAAACTGGATACATGAAACAGATGAAATTGATATAGAAGGAATTGATATAGATATTCCTGAGAAATCCACATCTGATCCCAAAGCCTTAGAGAAGTTCTTGGCAAATATATATAGCATTCCTGCTAATAATCCACAAGACGTACAAGAGAAACCTGCTGAGAAAAAACCTGCTCCTGTTGAAGAAAAACCTACTGAAGAGCAACCAGTTTCCAAAAAGACTCCACCACCAGTACCACCCAAGCCCAATTGCTTGAAGGTAAAACCTGCACCTGTTATCAAAGAGGACCTTATTCCTGAGGAACCTTCAGCTCCCATAGAGTCAGGCACTGATGAAATTATAGACAGTTTCTCAGACTGTTATCTATCTGATGAAGAACCTGATCAAGAAGATGAGTCGCCTGCTGAAGAACCTGCACTTAAAGCTGTTGATGACTACGATGTCTTAGATGACTTGCTATCTGACTTAGATTCTATAACCGCTAACCCAGTTCTTGAGCAACAACCTGAGTCTCCTGCAGAATCTTTTGCAAAATCCAAATCCCTCGCAGATTCCAAATCTTCTACAGAACCTGTAGTAGAACTGACTCTCAAAGAGCAACCTATCCCAGAACCCGACACAGAACTAGAAGTTGACCAGGACCCTGAACCAAAAGAAGGTACTCGAGCACACTGGGCTTGACATGAAAGGTGCCAATGGGATCGTAAGCCATGGGTCAAGAATTCAAAGGACCAGGTCTTCAATGATCTCTACAATATAGGTAAGGATTTATGGGCTAAGTACCAAGACGCATCAGACGAGTATGACTGGGAAATACTCACGTTTGAAGTAGAGGAATGTCCCACAACACGTATTGAGGACAAGTACCAGTACTACTTTAGGAGGTAGTAGACCACTTCAAGGACTGGATCGAATATAATGGGAACTTACCTAAAACACCTAGCCGTAAAGAACTCGCAGATCTAATAAGAGTATACAAGAAGGATCGTGATGCCGAGATTATTCCTATTACCTCCGGTTATGAAACTATGAAGATGAATACGGGTAAGGCACGAGAAATCCCAGAGGAGCGTCCAAAGACCAAGATGGAACGCCAGTGGGAGGCTGCTAATGGATTTGTAGACGAGTTGGATATTGATGAGGCCTGTGATATGATTGACTCCTTTTAATAAGATAAGCGCCTCTTAGTTATTTTTTATTTTTTATATAAAAAACCTATATTACAATTGAATACAATTCATAGTTATATCAAATGGCCTATTCAAAAATTGCACGTGCTTTACCTACAAGACCAGATATCAAAGAACTACAGTATTCAGGCGCAAGATTTTCTAGAAGAGCTATTGCCAGACTTGGACAGCAACTCCAATCCCGTATCCAACTCATAAATTTCAGATCCTGCTCCCCTATGAAAACTGGAAACCTGGTGGATGGACATCAGGAAACCAACCAGCCAGCCTCTTTTCACTCTTGGACCATTATGATGAAGCACAACTACCAGATAATGCAGATCCTGATTACTTTGAACGATTCATAATTTATGTGAGAGATGCTCCACAGGTTGAAGGAGGATGCAATGGGGAGCTAAATGATTGCCTGTATGAATGCCTGAAGCATATCTATGGTATATTCTCTAAAATACCCAAGACAATAAAAAAGCCAGAATATATCAAAAAGGCATTAGATCTAAATCGTGATGCTCCAGTTCCAGTCTCATATATGGATAAGGTTGAACAACTTGCAGGAAGCCTTGCACTTAATATTGTAGGGGATTCCACTCGAATTTCAAAGAGCAAATCTGAAAGAAATGCAAAACTAATAATGTCTGAAGGCCACTACTCTCTTGCACTGAATCCCGGAAGACTTCACCCTAGTAAATTAGATAGAAAACTAAAGTCTCCCTTTGTTTATTGTGAAGATGGGGTTAATAATGTAGTAACAATATACAATGGTAAGACAGTTAAGTCTCTTACAGTTGGACAGTTTCAGAAAGGTAAGAACTCTGATAGTTAATCCTTCATCACTATAGAGAAGAATAGTAAAACTGGAATATATGAAACACTTGAGGAAACATACCAGAGGATCCATGAAGAGCGGGATTCCTTTCTACAGGCTACAAAGAAGTTCGGTCTAGGAATAGACTTATCTTACCACAACTGGTCGTACAAGAGAACTGCTCTCTGGCTTTTTGAACGGTTTAGTGTAGGAGTTCCAGCCAATGATCCTCTTGATCCAGTCGAAGCAGAGTGGATAAGTGATGCAATGATGGGAGGTCTTATCTGGGCAGATAATGAATGGAAGGGCTATGGAAGACAATACGACGTGACAAGTTTNATATATCCTCCACAATCCTCCACATAGATCCTCCACAAAAATATATAACAAAAAAGGATAAAATAAGGGAAAAGAGAGGAAAATAAGAGGGAATCAGA